CGCCGGAGCCCAACAGGTCGAGGCTGCGGTGGCAGGGAGCGGCCACTGCACTCCAGTCTGGGTGACAGAGTGAGACCCCAACTCAAAAAAAAAAAGATAGTTTTATGTATATATACATAAATACATGTGTGTATGTAGCTATCTATATGTGATTTGATATAGAAATAAACACATAAACTTCCATTTGGAAGGAGTACCCTTCAAAGCATGTTAGAAGAGAAACAGGCCAGGCTTGGTGGCTCAGCCTGTAATTCCAGCACTTTGGGAGGCCAAAGAGAGTGGATTGCCTGAGCCCGTGGGTTCGAGACCAGCCCGGGCAACTTGGCGAGACCTGTCTCTACAACAAATCAAAAATTAACTAGGCATAGTGGCGCGTGCCTGTAGTTCCGGCTACTTGGAAGGCTGAGGCGGAATGATCGCCGGAGCCCAGCAGGTCGACACTGGGGTAGCTGTGAGTGTGCCACCACCCTCCAGCCTGGGTGACAGAGTGAGATTCCAACTCATTAAAAAAAAAAGAAAAGAGAAGAAAAGAAAGAAAGTGATAGATGAATTAAGAAAAGTGAGGCGCTATTAACTATTCATGAAAAGGAATCTGATGCTTTTTCTTTCATAATTTCAAGGATAGAATATGCTGAATTATGTTCAGCACACTTGGTTTAAGAATGCAGATTAGTATGCAAAACATGAAAATATCTTAAAATAACTTCCATACAAAACCATTTAAAAGCGAAAACAAGCCGGGCTTGGTGGCTCAGACTGTAATCCCACGCCTTTGGGAGGCTGGGGTGAGTGGATTGCCTGAGCCCGTGGGTTCGAGACCCGCCTGGACAGCGAGACCTCATCTCAACAATAAAATCACAAAATCAGCCGGGCGTGGTAGCGCATGCCTGTAATTCCGGCTACTTGGAAGGCTGAGGGGAAGGATCGCCGGAACCCAGCAGGTTGAGGCTGCGGTGACCGGGAGCAGCCACTGCACTCCAGTCTGGGCAACAGAGTGAGACTCCAATTCAAAAAAAAAAAAACAATTTAGTGTAAAGAAACTGACATGCAAACTCATTACTAGGATTCCTTTATCAAAACCAAGAAAGATGGAAGCTCTCTATTTCTATGGATGTTTTGAAACCTCTCTAAGACAATGGCTGGGAATAGTGGGTAAAGAAACCAATATTTCCACTGCTCCTACTCAGAGACGAACACTGTTGTATCCTCATCTTATTTAATTCCCATGACAATCATTTCACCCATGAGGAAATCAGAGCTCAGAAACGCTGAGTCACAACATTACCAGTTGTGTATTTTAACCTATGTCCCATCCCTCTGACTGCAAAATGCATGCTTTTTCTACTCCTCAGCACTCACCTCCAACTTGGAGGGTCTGAATAATTGGAACCAGGAATAAAAATTAACTGGCAGATTCACTGCCTGTGCTGCTGGGGCATGAAGAGGAATCTGAGCATTCCAGCTATGTAAACAAAAAGTCTTCTAAGAACAAGTCTATGTCCTGTTATAATCCATGGGCAAGCACGGTAATGATATTTTGAAATTTAAAAAATAATAATTTGAGGGTCCAGGTGCAGTGGCTCAAGCCTGTAATTCCAGCACTTTGGGAAGCAGAGGCGAGAGGATTGCCTGAGCTCAGGGGTTCGAGACCAGCCTTGGCAACTTGATGAGACCTCATCTCTACAACAAATTTTTTAAAATACTGGGCGTGGTGGCACACACCTGTGGTTCCAGTTACTTGGAAGTCTAAGACAGAGGGATCGCCTGAGTCCAGCAGGTTGAGGCTGCAGTGGCCATGAACATGTCACTGCACTCCAGCCTGGGCAACAGAGTAAGACTCCGACTCAAAAAAAATAATAGTAATTTGAGAGATCACTAGTACACACTGGGCTTTACACGTGGCTACCTGACTTCTCCAACTGTTGGGAGGTCTCTATTAAACATAAATTCATTACTGCATCCTAAAGTTAAATAAGTATAAAAAAATAAACTGTCTTGTCATAAATTTTATTAGTGGCCAGATATCCCCACTCTATGAACCTGGAGTTACAATGATTATAACATCATGGAATGAACCAGTCTAGTGCCAACTATTTTTTTTTTTTGAGTTGGAGTCTCACTCTGTCACCCAGGCTGGAGTGCAGTGGCACGTTCATGGCCACTGCAACCTCGACCTGCAGGGCTCAAGTGATCCTTCCACCTCAGCCTTCCAAGTAGCTGGAACTAAGACACCCACCATGACGCCCGGTTAATTTTATTTTTTTATTTTTTGTAGAGACGAGGTCTCATTATGTTGCCCAGGCTGGTTTCGAACCCCTGGGCTCAGGTAATCCTCTCACCTTGGCCTCCCAAAATGCTGGGAATATAGGTGTGAGCCACCCACCTGGCCAGTGCCAACTACTCTTAGTGGCAGTCTTTGACCACCCTTTCCTGAATCACTAATTCCTATAGCATCTGCACTGTGGCCTCTGCCTTCTTTTCTATACCCCCACTATTCAGCAAGTTCCTAAAAAAAAAGATCTGAGATTCAGAGAAAAAAGATCTGAGATTCACACAGTCACAACTCACTCCTGAGAAACCACTGCAGAAACCAACATCTACGTGTCAGACGTCGTTCACTGAACCTACCCTCTACGTGACATGCATCATCTCGAAATTCCAGAACAGCCCTACAAAGTAACTCCTACTAATGTCACCATTTTCCAGATGAGGAAACTGAGGCTAAGGACTTAAATGGTTTGCTCAGTGCACAGCTAGGATTTACACCTAGGCAGTCTAACTCTGGAACTGTCAACCCGAAGTGCCCACACTACTCAAAGGCTCCATAAAGAGACAATAGCAAGCCACTTAATACTGGACAGAGTGTACCTATGTTACACTAAGTAGGAAAAGGTGCTTTGAGGTCACCCCAGAGCACACCACATAGTCAACACTGCCATTCACAGTCAGTTGGGTTGCCAAGAGTTGGTAGGTGTCACTTGTTTGATCAACTGCGTCATGACATTTTTTTATCCTGACTTATTCACATTTGAAAATCTTTACTTCCTAACAGCTATTTCTTTTTTAAAAAATTATTTATTTTTTAATTGAAGTGGGGTCTCACTATATTGTCCAGGCTGCCTGCCTCTGCCTCTCAAAGGGCTGGGATTACAGTCATGAAGTATCACGCCCAGCCTAACAGCTACATCTCCAGTAATCAAAGGAATTTTTAAAATGTATATAAACATAAAAATTCAGCCAGGCATGGTGGCTCACGCCTGTAATCCCAGCACTGTGAGAGACTGAGGTGAGAGGATTGCCTGAGTCCAGGGGTTCAAGACCAGCCTGGGCAAGTTGGTAAGACCTTGTCTCTACAAAAAAAAAAAAAAAAAAAACTTAGGTGGGTGTGGTGGCACTCGCCTGAGGTTCCAGCTACCTGGTAGTTCCAGCTACCTGGAAGGCTGAGGCAGGAGGATTGCCTGAGCCCAGCAGGCCAAGGTTGCAGTGGCCATGAATGTGCCACTGCACTCCAGCCTAGACTCTGACTCAAAAAATAAAATAATAAACATAAAAATTCTCTTAGTTAGAGGTTTAAGTGATTGACCAGATGACTACCAAAGCTGAGTACAATCAGCTTCTTAAAAATGTTTAAATAGAACCCATTCTATTAATTGTATAACAAAAGAACCATCTTAGCACTATGTATAAGTACTTAAGTTTTTTTTTTTTTTTTTTTTTTTTAGTTGGAGTCTTACTCGGTTGCCCAGACTGGAGTGCAGTGGCCGCTCCCG